AAACAGCCAGAAGCTGGAGCATAGGAAGTTCCGCACCAATGTGCGCAAGAACTTCTTTACGGTGAGGGTGATGGAAGACTGGAACAGGCTGCCCAGGGAGGTTGTGGAGTCTCCTTCTCTGGAGATATTCAAGACCCGCCTGGACGCCTACTTGTGTGACCTGGTGTAGGGAATCTGCTTTGGCAGGGGGGTTGGACTTGATGATCTCTGGAGGTCCCTTCCAACCCAACAATTCTGTGATTCCTGCTTTGACTTAGGTTTCACAACTGATGGAAGAAGCTTGAACGGGGAGGAAACAAGCTTCACCAGAAGTACTTGTCATGTTTTGCATGTGTACTGAATCTGCTGCAGTAGAATAAGTTTAAGGTGATCTGGTTAAGAGCTACACACTCTCAAAATACGGTATCAACTATCAATTTTGGCACATTTTTTTTCCACTTAAAAAGATACTGTGTTACCACTATGTCACACAGTTAAGAGGACTGCCTCCAGAAACATCAAAAACTATGTGATAAGTGGTTTATTCTTTCTCTGAACCTTTATTTATAAGAAGATCTTACTCCCTTCAGCTTGGTATACTTCTCTCTCTTAACCTCCATGTCTTCCACAGTTAATAAGACCCTCCTGTCACTCTGGGAAATAAACTGTCCTGGAATTAAATTACAAAAGGGCAAGTATATACAAGTTGCCAAACAACAGGTGCAGTGCTTGAATTCTGCTCTCTTTTCAATCCATGGATATACTTCTCTGCCCTCTGCCAATACCTTCTGCTTGTTTGCACAAATCTGTACAAATCTAAGGTTTATGCCTCACTTTCAAGTGCAGCTGCAAATGGCCTGCAAGCTTAGAAGGTGGTGACAGGTAATAATTAGGATGATGCTGTATGTTGTATGAACGTTATATGTTACAGAATGACACTGCAGAACCATTGACAGGCCATCTTTGCAAGGAAGCAGCAATGGCTCAAGCTAAGCTCCTGGTATCCAGGAACATGCTGCTTTTCCTGTCCTCAGTGACCTCCTAGGAATGAGGTCTAAGTCGTTGCTGCTTCCCATAGATACCTTGGGAGAGGTAAATGAAAAGGGTAAATGGTATCCATGTGTCTATTAAGAGATGGGGAACGGGGCTGATAAGAATGTATAAAGCTGTATGTTAGATGTAATGATTATCAAAGGATACAAATATAATAAAGTATGTAGAACCTGAGCATGACATAAATGTTATGGACTGAGGAATAGAAGTGCTGGGTCCGGCTGGCATGGAGTTCACTTTCCCCACAGCAGCCTGTACAATTGTACATTCCACACCTGTGGCTACAACAGCACTGATATCACACCAGTGTTTCATCTACATCTGAGCACATACACAATAAACCATATGATCTAGTGGGTGGCATCCCTACCCACTGCATTGCAACTAGATGATTGTTAAGGTTCCTTTCAACTTGAGCCCTTCTACGATTCTATGATGATAAATTTTTTTTTTACCATTAAGAGATTTTGGTTTCAAATCACATTATTAAAATAACTGTCCTGTCTGTTGGAGCAAAAGAAAGCAAACATTGGAAATTTCACAAAGGTTGGAATGGCTGCTTATAGTCTCACTTCAGTTTATATGAATTGGTTGCATGTGGTCTGTTTTGGACCAGAAAACATCCTGTGCATTTTCTTTGCAAAAAGGAAAAAAACACAAAGCTGTTTCCTTCAGTGAAATTTTTTTCAGCTATGAAACTAATACACTGAAATACACTGACTACACTGAAAAGAATATGAAATAATAGAAAGTATAAACATTACCATTTTGCAGGTGGAAGTGATTGCATGTTTGTTACTCCTCCATCTACTGGTACCACAACCTGCACATTAGACAGCATGCTAGGAACATTCATAGACTCTGGATTGTATTTATAATCCACTCTCACATCAGTAGTGTTAGCATTACATTTCCAGTAAGTTGCAAGATTCAAGGGAGTGGACTGGATGCCATTTGAAGATACCTTTAAAAAAATAAACCATTGAAAGCAGCTTAGTTAAAGTCTCTCCCTTTCTGGGCAGAATTATGGAATGATTGTAATAGCTATAAATTCTGACAAAAGATCAAAAGAACAATTCACCTCCGAGCCTTTAATCTCAGAATTCTGAAGACTCTCATAACCTACAATAATTCCCATTCTTTTAAATTTAAACTAAATTATTTTAAAATTTATTTAAACTAAATTATTTTAAACTCCTTCTGACCCATGGGACTTCTTCCTGTTTTGGCTTTCTTGGGTCAAAATAGTTTTGTTTTAGTCTTGTACTCTACCTCACACAAGAAAGTTGCCTGTACCAAAATTAATTAATCCTTAGCAATTACGTGGCATATCATTTCAGATGTCTCAACAGCAAGCAGCAAAGGACACGTCATTGGACGTGTTGCCAGCAGAACAGTTCTTACGTATTAAAAATATGTATTTTGCTGGTGCAGGAGAATTGGCAGCTGCTGCTTCTGTTGTTGAGCTCATGTTGTGCCCTGCTACACACCCTTATTATCATCCTAATCTACTTGAGGAACTTTCCATTTCCCTTTCTGTCTTGTTGGCACCTCAGTACTCGTTCCATCCACCATGGCTTCTTTATGCCTGCATCTCATTTTACCCCAATGGTAAAGACCTTATGTAAATCTACTTTTCCCACAGAGCTCATTTCTGTAATCCAAAGAAAAATCATTTTCCTCCAACATTTCTCTTTGGATTTAGCATACTTTTTATACATTCAGTCTGGCAGGATATTGGGAAGATATAGAAAGCTACAGTAGTATTAATAACTACACTGCATTTTTAATTTATTTATTTTTCTTATGTAAAGGCAGTTGGCTCAGAAATTCAATTATCTCAATGCAGGGGAAGGAAATCCTTGTTTTCTCTTTTAGATGAGTGCACTATTCCTTAATTTTTATGAAGATTTTTTTGCTGACAGCCAGAACATCTTCCCACAGAAGCACACTGTGGCTGTGGTTGGAAGGGACCTCTGGAGATCACCTGGTTCAATCTCTCTGGCTCAAACAGGACATCCTAGAGCCAGTAGTCCATGTCCAGACAGCTTTGAAGTATGTCAAGAAGGAAGTTTCCACAAACTCTCTGGGCAATCTGTGACACTCCTTGCAGTAATAAATATGGTCAGGCAAAACTTCTCATTGGTACTTATTCAGTATCCTAGCCTTTTCCCTGTCCTGTCTCTGGGCACCAAAGTTTTTACTGTCCTCAAGCACAGCTCTAGTCAATTTGCGCCCTCCCGTCAGATATTTATATACATTGGTAAGATTGCCCCTCTTCTCGAAGTTCAACAGTCCCAGCTCTCTCAGCTTCTCCTCGCAGGAAAAGTGCTCCAAACCCTTTCCTTTTCATAATCTGCGTGGCCCTTTGCTGGACTCTTAAGTGTCTGCAAGTCTCTCTCATACTGAGGAGTCCTGAACTGGATTCCAGCTATAGTTGCATCAGTGCTGAGCAGAATGGAGAGATCACTTTACTCAGCCTGTTTGTAATGCTCCTCCTCATGCAGCCCAGGATACCACTGGCCTTCTTTTCCACAAGCATACAGTGCTGACTCTTGTTCAATACAGTGTCCACTGGGATTCCCAGGTCTTTTCTGACAAGCTGCTTTCCAGCAGGCTGTTCCTCCCCAGATGCAGGATTTTGCACTTCTTTCTGCTGTAGTTAATGATTCTCCTGGCAGCCCTTTTCTTCAGTCAATTAAATTAAGTCTCTCTGGATGGCAGTACAACCACTTAGCATATCAGCCACTTCTCCCAGTTTTGTGTCATATGTAAACTTGCTGATGGTGAACTCCTCTCCACCACACATATAATTAATAAAGATCCAGATGCTTTCCTGTGCAACCTACTGTGGGGAACCTGCTTTAGCAAAAGGTTGGACTAGATGATCTCCAGAGGTCTCTTCCAACTGCTTCGATACTGTGAATGAGGGCATGATCCATTACTGACCACTGAGTACGCCACTACTTACAGGCCTCCAGCTAGAATTTGCACTACAGATCAACACCTCCCATGTCCAGCTATTCAGCCATTTAATCTACCTCACTGTTTGCTTAACCAACTGATAATTCAACTGCTCCTCCATGATGGTCTTGTGAAAGACAGAGTCTAAAACCTTACTGAAGTCTAGGCAGACAACATCCACTTCTCTCCCCTCATCTACGAAGCCAGCTGTTTCATCACAGAAAGTTATCAAGTTAGTCTGATAACTACTCCTGATCTCTCTGTCCTTTATGTGCATCAAAATGGTTTCCAGGATGAGCTGTTTCATTTTATTGTGAGGAAAGAGACCATCAAATATTCTCATGTGTTACATCTAATCAATGACAACATCCCAAAACTATGCAATTACAAGAGCACTCACAACTGAATTACAAACTCAAAAACCTGTAGATGTATAAATTCAACAAAAACTTGCCTTTGCTAACAAACACCTAAAAGTAGCACTGCTCAGCATTTTCATACTTGAATTGTAAAGGAGTATGAACAAGATGAAACAGGTCATGAATGCAAGGGAATGACATAAGGCATAACAGGAACATACTCAGCCAGGGTAAAGCCTATGCATTAGAGACACTGATGTATCCAGAACTGATTGAGATGACAACTGCAGGATGCAGGATGACAATTCATCTGCATGCTATCAGGCAGAGAACAGTTCTAATTTCTGACAGATACGGAATCAGCCAGCATTTCTTAAAAAATTCCAAAAGGAAAAAAATGTTTACCTGATACTTTAAAACATCCACATTATAATAGGATGCAGATGGGTTCTGCTCTGATAATTTCTTGAGGTAGAGAGTTATAGCTTGCATGTTCATCCAAAAATCCCTCGTAGTGGAGTCACTTTGCGACTGATCACTACAAAGAAAAAGAAAGGTAGGAATCAGCACCAAAAGCTCTTATTTCTAAAAATGCCTAAAAATTAAGAATAGATCTTTCCCTTTATTCACTATTTAATGCAACTGTTTGTTCTAATGCTTTATATCACATAGTTATTCTCTTCTTAATATTAAGGGAAATTAACTGCTTGTCTTGTCTGGTTAAAATTCTCCTTCCAGTCATGGAGCAATGAGTTTTCTCCACTGATGACTGACAGCACAGGATGCAGTTCAGATTCAGACAGGTTCAGATTTTATATTAGTAAAATCCATTCTTAATGTTATCAGGTGCTGTGAGAATGTGCATGCGGTCATGTAAAAGGGGTCTTCAAGAAGAATTATTATCTAATCTGGAATAAGACCTAAAAAATGTAATTCATTTTGGATATGACATCACTAGGACTTGCGATGTATGTGCTGCCATATTTTTGTGTTTGTAGAAAATGTAAACTCCTTAAATTTTTTACTTCGAAAACAGTTCCCAAATTATTATAAAGAATTGTCTTTCAGCTACTTACTGTTAAATTCAATCTAAGTAGAGTTTTTTCTGGTTTTTTTTTTTTTTTTTTTTTTTTTTACAATTCCTGTATGTAGGTGAGAGCACAAATAACAGCACAATCAGAATCCTGATTTGGAGCTATTGGAGCATGAAAAGTATTTCCACAGATCAAGAATAACTTGAGCTCTGGTTGCATCAGGTGTATGGTGAAAAAAAAAAAAAACAATGAAGATTCTAAGAGAACTGATTCAGAAACAAAATTCAAATCGTAGATCAATTAAAAGGCTGCACTGGATATTTGTGTATATAGTGAGAAACTGCAGTCTCTGCTAAGGAGATCTGCAGAACCCATGTGTAAACTGAAGGTGAGAATGAACACTTGGAACACAGAAAATATGAATGCAATGGCTTGACTCTGGGACAGTGACTTACATACCAGTAGTCTCTTTGATTTAGTTTGATTTTGGCTCTCAGTACAGCATTGTGATTCCTGCTACTTCAATCTTTACTAAAATATAGATCAGCACTTATCCCTACAGCGACCTTAGACGATGAAAGCTACTGTTAGGTGCAATCCAAAACAAATTCTGATGTTTCCACAAATATCACTCTCATAAAAATCTGTCATTTCTATAAATACTAAGTAAATGATAGCCTAACAGTATATGATGAAAAATCATATTGCTCCAAATGGCTTAAACTTCCTAAGAGTCCTTTACATACATTATTTCTAATTAGAAGTGAAGTGTTACAGCACACAGATAAGAATACTAGACATTTTCCTATTATTTTCAAAATATACTTTTTCAGTTCAATTCACTTTATGTGCTGAAACATAACTATGAGTGATCAAAATGAAATTAAATACAAAAGAAGTGATGCATACAGCTCAATTCTTTCAGCTATTTTAATAATTAAAAAAAATGTACTACCAATAAATGTTTAACTCTTTTTCAAATAATTTCTCTACTCAATGAAACAGAAACTGCTCAGCTGTAAGAAATCCCCGCTAAATAACTACAGTTTTTACAACTGCCCTAAGTTTTGGAAAAGAAATCACAATGCTATGATTTCAACAATTATTCTGCTCATTCAGGAGCATATTTTTCTTAAGAATTCTACAAAACACATTGCTGTACACTTGAAATACATAGAAATGTAATTATTTTGATCTACTGTAAAAATGATACAGCTTAAGAAATAAACTTGTAACCAACAATTGAGATTAGGCATAGCTCCTACTACTTAACTACTCTTTCATCATCTAGAGTTACTGTTATCACTGTATACAGAAATCCACATATTCCTAGTTTGACATTTTTTCTTCATATCTGTAATCAGTTCATGTATTTTGACTAGAAGAAAAGGTTTTTTAAAAATTGTTTATGAAATCATTTCATCTATAAAACGTGCAAAAACAAAGCTACATTTGCAAACTACTTTTTATGGTTCCTGTCATACCCAGTGTAAGTTTCAGGGCCAGTGAATTACTGAGAATTTAGTGGTGGCAGCAGAGAAAAAATGAGGTAAACAAGATTAATTAATGAAATTGAATCAAGTATAAACAAATGAACAAGACTGTAGAGAACTCTGACATGTATACAACAATTTACATTTTAGAAATCACGTAATTTACTACTGTATAAAAAAAATAATACAAAACCTGTATACAAGTTGTGCATTTGGAAGAATCTGCTCTAGTTTGCTTGTGTTTTTTACCCTGAAGCAGAGCACAGCTGGAGATGGGTTGCTGGTGAAGACTTTAATAATCCCACTTGGGAATGATACTGTCATATCACCAGTGATCTTCACAATACATCTAGGAGAATAAAAATATTGTTTTTATTGCAATTCCTAATTTTAATGCTGACTGTAAAGCAATCACTGTACTTTCACAATCTGATAAGCTGAATTCATAATAGAAAATCAATTTTAAATGAGGATAATGTGGCACTGTAATTATCACATGTGACAATGTATTATTACCTTCAAATTGAAAATCAGGTGAAGTAAGTGAAAATAAAAGTACAGCTGCTTAAGCATACAGTAGTCTCTGGATATTTTTCAGGCTTTGAAAACATGGCACAGCTATGCTTAGGCAAGGCTTATATAGCATAGAAAGGGATGTGACAGGGTGAATGAGGTGCTTTTACAGCTGCCCAAAATTACACACAGTTCCTACACGACTGTGACAAAAACCCTCCTAATTTTCAATATTCTCACTGAGCACATTTTTGTAAAGCAGATGTATATTGCTCTCCCAACAAGACGATAGAGAGCAGCGAGTCACTGCTGTCACATACCCTAGGGGAAAAAGCCTGGTGAAACCCCTTACCAATGCATATATTTTCCCCAATACATTATAAATAAAAACACTGTGTTTTCTTCTTGTAACTTATTACATTCAAAACAATTCACTATTTAACTAACTTTGTGGGATCTGCTCCTTTAAAGTAGGCGTTAACAGATTCAGTAAGGGCTACCGCGACAGGCAAGGTGTCCTGGTTTCCAAGGCTGACAGGGCTGGGACCACGTGAAACACCTAGAATACATACAGTATATAGAGATTTAACTTATAAAAGCTTAGCAATAGATTTCAGAACTGTTGACATCTGTCATTTTCACAAGACATTACTACCATCAAGGTCACAGTAGAGCCTGAAGTAGTACTTGAACACTATTAGGAAAAAACATTGTACAGTACAAATTACACCATCAAAACACTGCGTAGCAACCTAAGAAAATAGGACTATTGGTATGACATATTGTCAATGGACAGACATACAGAAATATACATGAGACACAGAAAATGCATTAAAATGGCTAACAATGACACCAAAGTCAGCAGATCCAAAGGACATTAGACATTAGCTACAGTACGTTAAAAAACAAAACACAAAACCTACTGTATGCTTATTGCATGGAAAAATGTATGATAAAATGGTCAGGGAAATGCAAAGAATTCAGCCACAGTTTTTATGAACTTAAATGCAAACACATTAATATTACCCCACAATAGTGAATTGTTGAATATCCTTTTAACTATTTCATCCATAAGGTTAGAATTTCTGTGCAGAAATTACTGTAAAAATATTTTGCTAAGTTTTCTAGCATTTATAGGAATATCTTGGAAATACCTGGACACATATAGCAGTTCACAAGAAAAGTAATTATCAGGCTTGTGTCAGCCTTCATAGGTGCCTGTGCATACACAACAGAGTTAAAATGTAGAGCTTCAAAAACCAACTTAGACCTCATGCTGAGGCTTTTTTAAAACTGTGCAACTGACAAAACTGATTGTCATTTTTTACTTTCTCCTGGTGTTTTCCATGTGGAGCCAGCTACTTAATATGAACCGTAAAACTAGAAGTTTCATCTTTTTTACTAGTGCAGCAGCATACTAGAGAGCATCTTAATCATTTTTCATATCACTACTGAACTGGTTTATCACATAATGTATCTATCAAAAGGAAGATATAGTCTTTTGCCATGTCATGAGCAAAATGAGAAATTAACTTCATACCACAAAGTAGAAACAAAATCCTGTATAACATTGCCAATGGCATACTAATCCTCTATCCATACAAACTCTACCTTCTAGTGTCTGTGCCTTCTGAGCTCTTCCATAAACAAAAAAGGAAGTCGGGACCTTGTTCCTCAAGAGATATGAGATTTTACACTTAAATTCAGAGATAAGTGAAAGTTATAAAAACTGGAAAGTGAAACAAATGGATAGGAAAAGATAGGAGAGTTGGTCTAATTTGGTGCTTTCATAACTTGCTCTCCATAAGGATTTGTTCCCTAAGGTATTAAAATGTTCAGAATACTTCCTAGCAATATGAAAAAAGTGTTAGAGCAGCTTCAGGACTGCTTAAATGCAAAGCATTGCTCTGGCCACAAGTGTTCAAAAAAAAAATTTTTTTCAGTGAATGAATTAATATGATGCTGGCCTTTTTTTTTTTGATTGTTTGTTTAATAATTATTTAAATGAACATTAGTAATTTTTATTTGTTCTTTCAGAATACACGTGGGTGAAGTTTCCAGTGTTTATGTCTCTTCTTGAAATCTAGCAAAAAACGCTGTGATTCTCAGTAGTCTTAGAAATCCAAAAGTGATGACTTCAAAAAAATTGTAACAACCAGATCCATTCTATTCAAGAAATTATGTTTGATGAAATACTAAGCTCCAGAAGTATTCTCCATCCAGGCCAAAATATGCATTTGATGGAGAACAAGCAATTGCAGTTGTATATTATTTATTTATTTATTGTTTATCATACTATTCACAGATTTATCCATTCTATATAAAACTTACATTAGCCTTGTAAATACCTTTATATCGATATTTGAAAATTATGTAATGCAAATACTTAAATTATTCTCCTATCAGTAAAAGAAAAATATTCATTTATTGATGGAATAGGGAAACTTGTTAGGAATAAGAAGTTTATTTTTACATTTTCCTGGTAACACCAAAGCAAACACATACATTTATGCATCTCTCCGAGATGTATCTGAATGACTACTTAATTATAAAGGCCTTACTCTTCAAGATCATTTATTATTAATGATAATCTAAGCACTTTGATAAAAAACCAATAAACTGAAAGACATATACCTGTCTAACTGAACTACAGATATCATTGTTTTGTTGCCTTGCAGCTCAAAATATATGCCTAAAAATGTAATGCAGCAATATCCTGCTTCAGTGCCCTCTAAGTTAGCTGCAACCTCTCAGAGGGACAGGATGCCACAAAATTGTGCCATCCTGGATTACAGCTCAAGTGTTTAGGAGTAGGACTTTCAGCAATGCCAGCTAAGCTGGTCTTGATGCCTTGCTGTCTGCCTCAACCTGATCAACAATAACAGCCTCTCAGTTATGTTGACATGTAGTGGCACTGACATGGACAAGAAGGATGGCAAACTGCAGAAAAAAAGACTGCATCACTGGTCACAAATAGGACAATATTTGATCAAGTGGTTTCAGATCACTTTAGGCGTGAAGACTTGGATAATCTTAACACTGACTAAGCTTTCTTTTATTCAGAAAAAAAAGTATACCCTAATTTATTCGTATCTTCATAGCTTTGTATTGTATGAAAAAAAAAAAAAAATTACCTGACTTATCTGAAGAGAATGAGGATTATCAGAGTTAAAATGTATTCTCCTATCTTGAACGAAAGTTGTAATGCAAAATTGAAGGCAAAAGACCAGGTTTCAGCTTGTTTTGAAGGGATAGATAGAAGATTATAACATATTAAAGTAATTATACCAAGTTTTGGTCATTTTGATAATATATAACTATAAGTAGTTGAGCTTTCAAGCTACTTGTATCTGCCAGACACCAGAAATGGCTGGAGAAACTTTTTTTTGAAAGAAATGCAATTTTATTAGGTGCACTGTATTAGGATGATTAGTTAACATGTAAATCTGCATCTAATACAATACCTGGTGGTGTGTCACAAAGCTTTTCTATTGTAGGGAGTGTTCCAATCAAAAGATCATCCTCTATTATGTTTAAATGAAACAAAACATTGCAAGAAAACAAAATATTGCAAGCAAAAATAGATGTTAATTTACATATATAAATTCTCTGCATATGAATATAATGCTGACACATAAAAGAAATATGCCTACAAGTTCACACTCACCTCTCCATTACTCAGAATAAAGTATGGCAAACACTGGACTGTGCAAAATCTGAAAGAATAGTAGTGTAGAGCATCCTCATGCCCCAGCGTCATTTAGCACTCTGCACCCACCTCTCCAGGACTATTTTTTTTTTTTTTACACACTAAGCAGACAGAACCAAGCCTGCTTACTTTTGCTAGACCAGATTAATAACCATGCTAAAACCCTGCGGCAGCACACACCTCCTTACCCTTTTCCTCATACACACATGCACATGCAAAGAACTGGAGCTATTGAGGCTGCTGCCACTACTTGCTAAGGCCTGAGGAAGTGAGTATGGATGGACTTCGACCACATCAGTTATAATATCAGTTCAAGTATAAAATATTTTATAAATAAAAAAACCTGATAAAATATCAGTTATCTTTCTGTGATGGTTCTCAACATTTGGTAATTAGTAAACATCTAATTGTGCTGCTACCACAGCATCTGACGCTTACTAGCTTAGGTTTTGCAGAAGGAAAAAACTGTTGTACTTCCTGCCAGGTGGAATACTCCTTAGGAAGCAGTGTGGAAGCTCTCCAGAGATGCTGAGCTTGTCTGAGAAATCCTTGGTAACATTCACAGATAACTGACTGTTAACTGAAAGTCTGACTTAGGACTGAAGTGTAATACCATTCAGGAATGAAATACTACAATTCTGCTAAAGAAGCAAGTTAAAATGTATTTAAAACAACAACAACAAAAAAAGCAAACAAAGCACTTCTGAAGTCTCCTTACTGTTTGTTATAACCAAGTATAAAAACTCAAGGACTTTCCCCTAAGAACAAGAGAAAATCTTCTGAAATTTGTGACTATATGTAAAGACTGATCTGCTTTTCATCTTCATCTTTTTTGGCTATTTTTCATGTTTTTATCAACAAGCTCTGTTTAGATAATATGCTTCAATAATTTGAAAAGATGCATATTTTTGTGGGGTTTTTTTTGAAACTGCAATTACAACAATAAAAAGCAAATACAAATAGCATATACATTCTGTTTTGAACATCTGTTTTCATTCAAGTTTATACGCATCCTTAAATATTTCTGCACTTATAACAAATTTCAAACAAGTACACGATAACATGCTGTGTTTGATGAACATAAAACACAAAACACAAAGTTATACAGTGTTTCAGTTTTGAAAAATCTTTCACTAAACAGCAAGTCAAAATTAGATCAATGGTCTACTCTAATCAAATGAACTGTTCTGACAGAACAGAATACTGTCCAGTCAATTACAGGTAGGTATTTCAAGCGATATTTGAGGTACCCAGACTAGACTTACACATGGAACGACTAACTGCAAGGAATGGTTTTCCTAAGAAGCAAAACATAGTGGTAGAATTAGGCCACCACTAGCAATTTAATACAGTTAATAAGTTAATATGGTTAATGTAACTTACCAACTGTAGGTGTATTTGCTGCGCTAAGGGAAGCAGAAGAGGATATTGAGGAGATGCTCTCTGCACGTGCCAAAGGAGCTGCAGGTGGTGGGCTTGAATTAGAGGTCAGTGGAGGGCTGAATGGCCTAGGCTGAACAAAGGAGATTACAAGAGTATCAAACAGGCAGAAAGTCATTTAAAAAATAATTTTACAAACATGAAAAATACTATAAATAGAAGAGATCTTCATTTCATTTTGCAATAAATATCTACATGTTGCTTAGATCTTTTAATGCTTTGTATATCCTACTTTCCAGCATAAAACAGAGAAGACAAATTTTCCCTGGAGACTGTGGAATCATAGAATGGTTTGGGTTGGAAGGAACCTTTAAGATCATCTAGTTCCAACCCCCCTGCTATAGGCAGGGACGCCTTTCTCTACACCAGGCTGTTCAAACCCCATCCAGCCTGGCCTTGAATGCTTCCAGGGAGGGGGCATCCACAACCTCACTGGGCAACCTGTTCCAGTGTCTCACCACCATCACAGTAAGAGTTCCTTCCTGATATCTAGTCTACATCTACCCTCTTTTAGTTTAAAGCCATTTCTTCTCATCCTGTCACTACATGCCCTCACAAAAAGGCCCTCCTCAGTTTTTCTGTAGGTAAAAACTTCAGGTACTGGAAGGCCACTATAAGGTGTCCGCCGTAGCCTTCCCTTCTTTAAGCAGAAGAGTACCATCTCTCTCAGCCTGTCCCCATAGGCTTGCTAGGCCACGTAGTATCTTGCTAATTTGAAACAATGGAAGGGAAAGGATCTTACCACAGCAAAATTTTTTTCAAGTAAGTCAAATGGAACCCAAAGAATTGTAATATTCATAGAAGAGATCAAGCACGGTTTGGTTTGATATGCTGCCTGAGCGCATTCTTTGCCACATTCCTTATCAGTAGGTGGACTTGCACTGCAGGCAGGGAGCAGAGATGACCCCTCTCTATGTTGAGGGGCAGCTGCTGCAATCCCCTACCTCCCTTCACCAGTCACCTCCACCAAGGGCAGGGTGAAGTCAGCATGTCTACTTGTATCAAAGCATGACTGATAATGACCCACTTAATACCACTAATTCCCCAGATTTTTGGTGATATTCCTACATCAATGAAGCTTTGCTAATAATTTTGCTAGAATTTAGCGTTGTAAATAATTTAATCCCCCCTCACATACTATCCATGCATTTTCAAACTATTTATTTATTCAATTAAAAACAATCCAAGATCAGTTAAGAATTATTTTTGTTATAATAACACACTTATTGCAAAAAATGCCCACACCTATCTGGCAGTGGTGAAAATCTGATTTCTTGAGCCCTGACTGGAAAGTAACTCCATTGTAACAATGCAAACAAGTGGTATATCTGAAATTGATTTATAAACAAGAATTTTTAAAAAAATCAGTACATACTATTTCATTAATTCCACTAAGTTTCCCTGTAGACAATTTTGTTCTTGAAGCAGGCCTTGGAGGGGGTACAATGGTGCCGACAGTAAGAGGAGTTGTGGGTCTTGCTGAAAGAAAGCAAATACAAGAAAATCAAAATTAGGAATGTCACAGTGAACATAAATAGGTAGTCAGTCAAATAAAACCAACTGAATAAAACCAAACAGAATGTTTCTATTAAAAGTTCCTGTTTTACAGTTCTATTTTGTAAGATTCACCACAAATCAAAAATTATTTTGAAAAGAGCCATGAGATACTCTGAAAAGTGACTCTAAAAATGGCATCATGGTATTTCTCAATACTCTCAAGTGATTTTCTATCAATTAATCTCAGGGCTTTGTACGCAAAAGAAGGTTTTACCTGAGTTCATTTTTGTGTATATTCTATATAGAATATAGGACAATCTTTCATGCCTTACCATAAATGAAAAATTCAGTGGAAATTCACATTTGGTCCTGGCTGATAATATAGCATAACTGTTAATATCAAATCACGCCTTCCGAAATTCCAGTTTAACACAAAAAAATCAGCAAATTACTCTATTGATTGCAAGAACACAATAGCTCCTTATTATCTCTTTTAGCCCAACCTGTCAGATCTTAAAAGCAGTACAAAATACTGCCCCCATGTCCTTCTAAATCTAGTAGACACAACCAACAGATGATGGCGGCAGTACAAAGATGCCACTTTTACACAGTCACTTTTCTGAAGAGAACTGTATTTGAAAATAAATGTTAAATGCCATCCAATGAGTATGCCATAAGTTCAAAATAGAAACCCGAATATATGGTTATAGTTGCTGTGTATCTTATCTGCTCCCTCAAAAAAAAGGCAAGGTGCTGTGTTTTGATTGGAGCTATCCCAGATATGTAAAGACTGGTAGAACTCCTTGAAAGCAGTCCTGCAAAGGACTTGGGGGTCCTGATGGACTAACAGTTGGGTATGAATCAGCAGTGTGCACTTGCAACCTGGAACTCCAACAGTATCCTGGGCTGCATCAGAAGAGGAGTGGCCAGCAGGAAGAACGAGATCATTGCCCCTCTCTGTTCTGCCCTCATTAGGCCCAATCTGGAGCAACACATCTAGTCGTGGGGCCCCCAGCACAAGAATGACGTGGAGCTGTTGGAGAGGTTCACCTCTTCTCTGAAGACAGACTGAGGGAGCTGGGTTTGTTCAGCCTTGAGAAAAGAGGCTCCAGGGAGACCTCACTGTGGCCTTCCAGTACTTGAAATGAACTTTTCACACAGGTAGACAGTGATAGGTAGATGGATAGATAGTGATAGACTGGAAGGGGAAACAGCTTTAAACTGAAAGAGGGGAGATTTAGATTAGATATCATGGAAAGTGTTTCACTGAGAAGGTGGTGAGGCACTGGCACAGACTGCCCAGAGAAGCTGTGGATGCCCCATCCCTGGAGGAGTTCAAAGACAAGCTGGATGGGGCCCTGAGCAGCCTGAACTGGTGGGTAGCAAACATGCCTAAGGCAGGGGGTTGAAACTGGATGGTTTTCATTGTCCCTTTCATTCTATGATCCTGTGAAATTACTCCAGATAGTTCTTTTTTTGATTAATTAAGGAAATACTAAGATTAATTTTATTAATGTTATGCAGTTTTTATTTTCTCAGGCATCCAACATAACTCTGCCCTCACTGAGGTAATGAAATTCCATTGCTGACTTGGGAAGAAATTTGGCTAATACTGACTATAACCACCATATGCCCAGGCTACACTGTACATGCTAAACATCAATAATCTGCTTCAGTATCACAGATATTCAGCGAATCATGCCCAATGCTTGCTGCTTTGCTCTTTCAGTATGTAGCATTATCCTAATATGATCCACTCTTCAAAATATTGGGTTTTAAGGAGGAACTGTTCTCAGTCAAATTTACTTTATTTAATCTGATCTGCAGAAGGCAGGTTCAGAATACATCTGTTTAAGAACGGAACTGTTTATGTGAAATCAAGCATTTAATCTTTGAGACTTCATTGCTCTCTGACATTCCAGGAAAGTACATGTGTATTTCCAGAAAAGTTAAGCTGCATATAGTTAAGAAAAAGCAGTGGCTTTACAGTTAAATAAATTGATTTTTCCTCTTATGTCAAGCTGAATACTTATTTCAGTGTCGTAAGTTTCAATGAAATTGATGCTAACAAGCAATTTAGTACATTCTATGTTAAGAAGTTAATTTTAAGGTAAGCTAGAATAAAGAAATGAAAAATCAGTCCAAAGCTTGCTTTTTGGAGTCAGTTATTAGCAAAGAGCAGTACACAATGCATGCTTGCCATACCCTTGTTTGAATGAACACAAGGAGACACTAAACTATAGTCCAGATGTGCTGAAGATGATGTGGAAGAAATTTCGGCAGCAGTGCTAATTTCTTCAATGAATAATAGTTCACGGCATATAGTATTATTTGAAAGGTCACTTTGATCCTCAGAAGCACAGCAGTTGGAAGAATTCTCAAGCAAAGCAGAAGAGGCAAGGCAGGCATTTTCAGTTTTAAAATGTAATCTTTGTTGCTCCTTCTTGTCTGTGCTTGTTTCTCTAATTGTAAAAAGTTCATCAGCGAAGGAAATCCACTGACTCTGAGACCATGAAACAGAGGATAAAGTACTGATATTCCCTGATGGTACTTCTACACCAGATTTGCACGAAGTGCTAATTACGAAGTCTGGTGAGGATGGGCTTCCAGACCCAGAATCTGTCTGGAGTCCAAGCAAAGACTGAGACAGTCTACATCCAGGCAAGTCACTGGTAGATGAGGAGGAATTCCTACTGTGCTCTCTTAGTGTAGCTGAAGGAAAAGGTAAGAATTGAAACAAGATGGAATACTGAAATGATAAAATATAAATCCAGACTAAAAAGGTGTATTCAACATCAATATCCTCTGCATTATTACTAGCAAGCGTGAAAAATAATTGCTCTATTAGGCTAAAAATCACACCACTTACAAAAAAAAAAAGAAAAAAAAACCAACAAAACATATATTATATCGGCTTTGTCCACACTGTCAGACACGTCACTTTCCATTCCTTATGCAAGCCAAGAAGTAATCTATGTTTTTTCTTTCCCCTTAAGTCCCAAATTCTCGTGATTTTGTTCAATCTCTAACTTCTTCTATATCATGTTAAGTTTAACTTCCTGTTGTCCTTTTATTTTCCTTTTTGGTGTCCTAATCCATTTTTATTTCCTTTCAACTTCTTTCAAAACAACTTAGTCAAATCTACTCTTCTACATTCCTTCGAAACATTTATGCTCTTACCCACACCTGTAATGGAAAGGCCCAACATAAATGACTGTTCAGTGAATGAATGATGACAATGAAGTCTTGAGATGTTGCTTGCTTCTTATTTTTCTGATCCTATCAACCCCTTTTTTAGTGAGTCACAGTATGCATGAGGCATCATCTACCCCAATTTATTTTTTCTCATCCCAGAGTCTTCCACCTGCCAGAAAATGAGTTTTCCACAAGTTTTCCCTGCATTTGGCTGTTGCCTGTTGGAGTAGATGACAACAGAAGCAGCAAATGCAGTTAGTCAATTCTTTAATGTTTTGCAGATTGGCAAAGCTAAGAGCAACAGCAGAGTGGCACACAGAATTAAAGAGAGCAATAAATTTAAAAGTTCACATTGGAAGCATAGGTCTCTAAAGTCTTCTTTCTGTCATGAACAAGTACATCATCTAAGACCAGATAAACAGATACTTAACACAGCTTTCTCTTTCTGACATTTTTATGTATTTTATGTACTTAGGTACTGAAAACATCATTCAAAGCCTTTGAAATGCAACTGTAAATCTCATACTAAAACTATGGGGAAATGTGCAAGATTATTTTTAAAATGCCTGTTTATAAAAATGGGGAAGATAAATAAAAGAAGCATTTATAAAAGATTGTAGATCACTAAGAATGTATGTTGCATTTGTTCAAGATAACAAAACTAGCTTAAATGTCTAATAAAACAGGATTATTCATGGATGACCAAAGTTTACTTCTATGCTGCATAAACCACAGCCTGCAAAAATACCACAGTGGGTTAGGTGTTCAATGATTAACACAGTTATGAAACAGTATCCTAAGAAATGCCTTAACAGGAAAAAGACAGAAGTATCTATGGGATGTGATGGATCATACTTCGTATACAAAGCAAACAATTTATTGTATATTTAAGCAATTTAAGTTTTGGATTGGAAATATTAAAACCTTTCAACAGCAGCATTATCTATATTAACATTCAAGTTGGAAATAAAACACTGATTTCTGCAGGTTTCAAAAGAGAATCAGATCAAAGTTGTGTACTTATAAAAGCTGCAGGTTAATGAGCATCAGAAGCTAACTTGATTTAAACAACAATATGAACTACTGCAATTCAGTAAAAAAAGAAATAAATTCCAAATATATTACTACTTTGATACAGTTTAGAACGCTTTCTTTCTACTTAACTGCATGGGTCATTTCACTAATGTAAACAGCTTAGTTAATTCCTAGAACAACAATCCTTTTAATAATTATTTAGCAGAGAAACATTACAAAGGCAAAATATCTAGATATTTAAATATTTCTCATATCTAACATTGACTTTCACATCTAAAATTGACTTATGCCCAAAAGGCACTATATTCCATCAATTTCAATCAAATGTAGGGATTTGCACATAAGCCACTTTTAGGAGGTGCAAGGCCATGTGCAGACTGCCCCTGATGTCTGGCTACTGATCCCAGTGATCTGTCACTGCTCATCAGCCAGAGGCTGTTCTCTCCACCGTTCTGCTGACAGGAGGAACTATATGAACTTTTTCTAGCCTGCTTTACTCTCCTACCCATGAGTAGCAAAAAATCAACTAATCACAAACCAAGCTTCAGATGGTAGATGTGGTCCTTCAAGTCCCAGACTTCAGGCAATATGTAAGCCTCTGTCTAACACCAGGACAGACAATCACCTGTCCTGCAGGATAGCTGTAGGTTGCCTTGAAGAAGCTATGCCACCAAGTGAAGGAGTTACAGGAGGAAATGAGCAGGTTATGTAACATCAGAGGGAAAGGACAGAAGCTGGTGACTAAAAGGAAAGCTCCTGCCTCTCCTAAAGGCTTACAAAATTGAAGAGGTTCACTGCCCTCACAGCTGAAGAGAAGATACATGAGCCTACTTGCAGTGAATGTAGTACTCCTTAACAATGCCAGCTGGAAGACTACCTGGAAAAAGGTCATATAAAGGGTGACTCCCTGCCGTACAAGACACAGAAACACATCTATCAACTCAAGGTATCAACTAGAGAGGTTTGCTTCCTGCTAGGAGCCTAAATCTAGGATATTGTGGAGGGATTGCTAAAGCTGACCGCTGTTAATCCTGTAACTACTAATCCCTCCATTCTTCCATGTGAAGCATACATCTAATTCATAGTATCAGCACTAACTACAGAGTTCTGCTGGGAGCAGTAGTCAATAGCATGGGGCTTAGGTTGTCTTCTATTCAATCTTGCTGGTGAGAGCATCAGAAGGGCACTAATAAAACAGTCCAGGAAATGACTGCAAAATGGTGGAGGTGACAGTGCTGGGGTTTTGTGACCATGAATCCTTGTCTATAGATCAGCATCTGCTTGGGAAAGATTAAATACACCTCGTTACACAGAGCAAAGATGTTTTTACCACTAGCATAGCTGACTTCATAGAGACGATGGGGTATGGAAAAATTAACCAGTGATTCTACAAGGGATCTGGTGATAGCTGTGGAGCAAACAGCAGAGGAAGAAATCACAAAATCAACAATATGGGGCTCATGTGGAGTCATCTTCAGCACCTGCATGCAAGCAAGAAAATGTCTACAAAGCACTATCATGGAGACATTCTCCAAACCCTTTCTACCAACTCTTCAAGCTGGGGCACCTCTACGAAGTGCCTGTACACCAAAGCACAAAGTATGGGGAATAAATACGAGTTAGAGATCAGTGTGCAGTTACAGGCCTATGATCTACGACCAAAGCAATAATATAGCTAGAAAAACAGATTATTTTGAGAAAACACAACTTCTTTTCAGCATAATTTGCTCACATACATACAATTTACTTCCTCTCAGGTGGTACAACAACTTTCCCCTCATCCAGCCTCAGCCCTGCACTTTTCTCCCATTGCCCCCCAGTTCTGCCCACACATCTCATAACAGAATAAAGAATTCATACAGAAAACAGACTCTTCACTGCTAAGTGTTATGGAGGCTTTTACTAGGTAGTTCAGCAGCCCCCTTTGTAAAGAAGAAATCCATTCCTGTTCAAAATCGATGCTCAGCTTGGTTCATAGTTGCTGCAATATCCTCCATTTAATCTTTCAGACCTATCAGCAAAAAAAGTTGACTACATTATTTCTTCAGCACAGATGATCAGTTTTGGAAAGGAAGAGAAGGAGAGAAAAAAACAAAAGCAAGATAGAATTTTCCAAAGGTTTCTTGTGTTCCCTCTCCCCGTTTGCTCCCCAGCTTGAAAGCCTGATATGTCATACCTTCCGTATTACTCACAACATAGGATACCACTTTAAAAATTCTTTCATTTTGACGATTTAAACACATGCAATTACTAAAAAAGTAACCACAGAACATCCTGAAAAATATGCAGAAAACACTTTCCTGCTATCAAATATCTTACCTGAGGAGGATGAGGAAGCCAAGGAGGCTGAAGAGGAAGATTCAAGGGAACTGCTAAACAGTGGATCCCATGCCAGAAGGTCACTGTTCCCCTTTCTATAGTAAGAGTTACAATTGGAATACAAATGAAAGGCACACATACTCATAACATTCAAACTACAGCACTGATAGTTCATCTGTGGTATTCATTAGCTTTTGCATCTAAAAGTAAATGCACAAATTGTAGAACTAGTTTACACATAATTAAACTGTACGCATTGACCCCTTCATTACTTTTGTGCAACTTTGTGTATGGACATATGTACATATGCTAGTATGTACTCTCACTTTCAGCAAGGTGTACACCTACAAACTGATTTGTTTCAGCTCATATATACACACACACATATATATATACACATATATATATTTATATATAACCAATGTATAAACTGTCCAAATTCTGGGAACAGTATGCAATGGAAATTAAACAAAAAAAGCAATAATTTTTGATCATGTAATTTTAAATACCAATTGAAACATCACAAAGAAGAAAATGCATTAGAAAGGGAAAAGCAAGCAAATAGAAATCTTCAATGTTACATTATTACTCTTTAATTCTTATAATGCAAGAGATGCTTAAAATAGCAGTCATCTGAAAATTCCAATGACTTTCTGAGTACTGGAGAAAAATAAGACCAAATCTTCCCCTCCCCCCCCCCCCCGCCCCCCAAACTTAATTTGGCATAATTTTAAAAGTTGAACTTACTCATTTGTTGGAGCCGAAAGCTTTGATTTTGTTAACTCCTCACCTAAGCAAAAGACGGAATAATATGACCAAAGCTATGGTTTGCTAAAATATAAATATTTCCGCCTCATTATAAAAAGACAGTAAATGTTTATGATTGCTGTTCAAAGCTAATTATGAATTATTAAGAAAATATAGTATTTCAGATAATGTGAATTCAGATGCTCCTGAAATACCTTCTGAAGGAAGGGGACTATACAGAGCAAAACATTTTGGAAGGAATTATTTCTTTAAATCACTTTAAATTTCTTTCTCAAATTATACTGCTTACATCAATTTTATTCTTCAGCAATTCTGGCTTGTTTTGTCACTGAAAAAAAAAAACCCAAACAATGTAGAGGATTGAGACTCACACACTCTGCCTTCATGGTCAGGTTTTGTATTTTTGGTTTTAAAACAGAGTACTTTGCAACTTTGTGGATAATACTTAAGATGATGGAAGGGCTCCAAGAACTTACACAAGAGTAACCTCCATTAGACTCTTGGACTTATTTTCATCACAGTCACAGACAGTCTCATCTGATTCCCAGCACAGGGAACAGTTAAGTATATAGAAAATGAAGAGATCTTTGGAGGTTACTAGCTGCTTTGAAATTTTGACCAGATAAGCTAATTCTGTCCTTTTGAATTGACTATGAGTAGTCTGTTTGAAGGAAAATATCAAAAAGGTATCCAGAATTGACAAGATAAATATTTTCCTACTTAAAATGCTGAGTAAGTTCATTTCTTAAACAAAAAAAAAGTCTATTTTCATGTTACATCAAAAAACTAACATAAACAGACTAGAAATTAAACAGTCACACTTACTGGATGAATTTCGATTCATTTGTGCCTGAAACAGAAGAAAAAAAAATCAAAACTAATTTCCAAACAGAATGCTTAATAGTCTCAGGGCTCACATTTCCACTCAACTTTCTATGAGGTATTTTGCTTTCAATGCCAGGTAAAACATTCTGGAGCTTATAGGAAACCAGAACATGACCTGTGACAGAACTAATGCACACCTATGGCATGGGACAAGAAGAGGCAGGAAAGAAGACTTCTGAGCTGATAAAGTCAGCAGTATTACTAAACAACTTTGCAGGCTAGGTCAGTGAGACTAAACAGTTTTCATATTGCACTGTACACATGACAGATAAAACATTCCTAAGCTTTTCTCAATAACTCTCACACATAGTACGCTCATTTGATTCTAAATTAAAAAGATGAATAAACAGCCATTTTGTACTTACAGGACTGTGTCTCTGCTTTCAAAACATGGGGAAAAATAGAAAAATCACCATTAGTATTTTAATGTTACATATAGTATCTTCCTTGTTATCATAGCCATCATAATTCTGATCTAAATATCGTACTAGATAAATCCAAAGCTATTTCTGGTACCATGGCTTGATGTGAAGGATCATTCAGTGATTAGGCAGATTGCACACAGCTGCACCTTACAAACTACGTATATCCACATAATGTAACCAGCTTTAAAAGTCTGAGCATTCCTAAGACTTACAAGAAAGTTAAAATCTAAGGGAGAATTATTTTATATTGCAATGAAGTGCATTAAGGGAGACTTTGCAATGAAAAGAACTTGAATATAGAATAAATTCTGGGTAGTAAATTGAATATTTACAGTAAAGATTCCTAATGACTTTTCTTCTCATTAAAAATACAAAGAACAAAATTACTTACAGATGTTGCTGGAGAAAGAGCAATGTTCCCTATAGAAACTTTTAATTCATCCAATGAAGGCATAGTGTATTGAGAACTATTATTTGGCTGTACAGGTTTTATTTCTATATGGAACCTCCTGGGTTCATCATCTTCAGAGTCAGAATCGCTGGATGAATAGAAATGGTTCTCTTTGATATGTTTTTCTCAGTTAAGGTGGAAATGACAATGGAGTGTCCATGGTACTTCTGCCAAGTGTAACTGCAGAGGAAGCAGGAGCAGCAGCCATTACAACTTGCCATTTCTGCAGAGTAGCGCTGACAGTTTCACTGCAAAAGATGCCAGTTACACAGAAGGCTGTCCAGTAAGTGAAACACTACTGTCAGCCTACAAAGGAATCACAGCGACAAGACAGCCTTTAAAACTAGCCAAATATATGGGAGCGCCGGTTTTTTATATGGTTCTTCATATGCATATAAAATCCATTGGGCAAAAGCTCTGAAAGGTCTATTCTAATTCTTAAAAGTGCATTTATTTTTACAAGAAACAAACTGAAAAATTTCTTGTACTCTAACACAAAAAGTATATTGCTGTCTGGGTGTAGGACACATAATCTATATATTGCTTCTGTTATTTTCTCTTTGAAAAAAGACAGCCATTTGAAAATCTCTTCTAAGTATTCCCTGACAAATGTCAAAACCCTAAACCCTAAAGGCATTCCAAATCCAATTCAACTGACAGATTCCCTGAGATCTGGTGAAGCAATATTCAGATATCTCCATCTTAGTCTGTCCATCCTCAAAAATCGATCACATCTGGAAAGCACAATTTTAAAGACAAGTCATTTTTTATTTCAGAAAATTGCTTTCTTTTGAAAGGTTCTGAGTTTCAAGATTCATTTCCTTCCCATCAGGCTGTTGTACACAGCTTTTGTAAAGTGGCACAGGCTGACCACTGAAATCTATTAAATGGTTACTGGCAAAGATCAGTTGACATGTGAACGCCATGAAACGAAAGGTCACTTCATGAAAGTTTTTTCAACACTTAAGACTGGCCTTACAAAGCCTGACTGCCAACAAATCACCTTAAGAGTTCCCATATGCAGAATAAATAGCCATCCTTGGATGCTATTGGAAGGAAAAGAAGAAAAGTGATGACTTCCTGAATCTGGCCAAGAGATTCTGAAGCTGTGGTATAATTGCAAATCACTGAGCTTTGCCACTAGATGTACAGACTTCTCCATTTCCTCATGACAGAAAGGATAAAGGAGAAAAGAATGTCTGTGTGAATCATTTACAAAGAATGAACATTATTCACTCCTGTTCCATTTCATAACTATATATAAAGAATAAAGTAATGATGTTCCCCCCAGAATTGGATAATAGTCTTTCAATTTTATATTATATTGGTTTTGTAAATAACGTGACTGTTTTTAACAGCAAAGCAAACTTTTCTGGGGTCAACAGAATTCTGCAAAATTGATAAGAGCAGAGAAGCTCTGAAGGATTGGCACACATTAAGGTACTTTCAACCAAAAAATTTTTTTTACTATTTATTTAAGGTAAATTCAAGTGTAAATTTACCTTTTATTTCTCGTCTCTCCCCAGAAAAGCAGAATACATTCCCAAAAATAAGTGATTTTGCTAAGGGCTTGCTTAGACCTATCACAACCCAGATCTCAGGTCCTGAGCACAGCCTGTTTCTGATGAGAAAACAAGGAAAAAATCTTTTTCTTCAGAGAAAGAGCAGAAAAAATCATGGGCATCCATGAAAAATGACTCATGGAAAAAACCTTATAAACTTACCACAACAACTATTAACATACAATAAAAACTCCGTGTGCTGGAATGACTTCACTAAGAAGCAGAAGTTCTATTTTTGGACTGTTGGCACTCCTAATCTTTCTAATGATGTTATAAAACTGTGGAGAGGGTGCAGGTATAGAACCAGTAACTGTTTACCATGCTCAAGACAGTTCTACTTTATGAACTCTCTGAAAGCTTTTCACATAGAAAGATCTGCCTGGCTACCTTAAAGCTTTTGTTCACATCTTTGTTGTCTTTAGACAAAGAACATCCTTTTACCGTTCCTAATACATCAGATTTAAATCTTAGTGTTTACACACACGCATAGAATTGAGGCTAGACAAAATGCAGCACAGTTTGCAGAAACCGTGAACATAAGACTGCAAATTTGAAACACAAGTACAATGACATCTTCCTCTGCTTAACTGTTTAAGCAGTATTCTCCCTCTTCAAAAGATTATTACAAGATCAAATAAATCAGCACAGTAATAGTGAAAAGGATATCCTGTGTTGTTTCTGGTTTAATGCTGTATCCTTCATCATCTACGTCAGGAATGTTCTAAAAACAACAAAAAAGGTATTGACAAGTTAAGGAAAAAAAAATTTCTTACATTCAACTGGATCTTATATAATTGATGAACTGAAATTTGATTATGGTGGCTAATTAAAGTACTCACTATTTAACATTAATTATTGCAGTTATTTCAAGTTATTCTCTATAGATCAAAAATAGAAAATGCAACAAAACAACCTCCACATTTCCTGTGAAAATACATTTTCCTGTGAGTTTTAATCACCTGCTTTTACCAGTATGCTGCCAAAAAAGGCCAGAAAACAACACAAGTATGTTAGGTAAATAAGCTTACAATTCTTTTTGCCCTAAATATTTTCCTAGTTTCTACTTCTAATTCCTTCAGTTAAACCACTGAAGGCTCTGATGATGCAAGAACACAAGATTTACTAAGTACTAGTCAAAATTTCAATATGTGAGTAAAAGCATTCCAGGTTATACAGCTTGCAAATTTTCTCCCCCTTGAAAAGTCAGCAAGACCGTACTGGTGCTTCAGCAAAAGCTATCTACATTAAGTAAAAAGCATGGATGAAACTTAAGAGACATCTCCAGCACTGTGCTGGATTTTAAAAGCTTCTGAACAATCAGGAATTTCAGTTTTTCAGGTATTGCAGACAATTAAATATAAATTGAGAAAATTACACTAAAAATAATTTAGAATGCCAGCTAAGGACTTTGTTTCATAAAAGCACTTTGGAACAGAGAGAAACAAGTTTCTAATATGATAATCTCAATTTTAATTATAGGGGAAAAAAAAACCACACTTGTGTACATTATATACAGACTGATATACTTTCTTATATGGTTAATGATCCCATTCAAAACAGAAGAATAAGTGAAAAGACCATGAGTGACTTTGTGAACTGAGATGCCACAAATAAGATTATTATATAAAAAGCAGAACCCAGATATCTTCAACATGTACTGATTCTATGAGTTTCAATTTTTAATACAAACATGAAGATTCATATTTAAAAAAAAAAAAAAAGACATTTATTCTAATGTACCAACAGTTTGTATTGTATTTGAAAACAGGTAGTGGGAGGCAATCTGAATGAAAGCGAAATTTACATTATATACATCATTCAAAATACATCTTTCTGATATGAGTCATGAGATATAAAATAACTTATACTAGAAACTTTAAGCGAGCTAGAAAACAGCCAGTGAATGTAGAATTTGAACTTGAGCTTAAAGACATATTTGTCTTGAATAGATTTAGATAAGCATAAAATTGCTGTCCTTCTCTAGAAATCATAAATGGGGTGTCTTATATTTTACTGATATATCCTTCTAAACTTAGCAATTGTGAATTAAATTGAATGAATTTAAATAAAGATCAAACTTTTGCCAAAAGGATTATGAAACACTTAAGAGTAGGTGATAGCATACCTAATTAGAAAGCACATTAAACTAAAGACAGTAAAACTGTATAAACTCATACCCTTAAATATAGAAGATTAAGATGCAATTTCTTTAAACTTTTAAGACATGGCCACACTGCTATTTGATTTAAAAAAAAAAAAAGGAAGAACTGGAGAAAAAAATGTAATAAGAGTAGGATCACACGGTCCAGTACCTTAGCTCTACTTGCTCAAATCAGGGTTCTTAGCTACGCTTGACCTCAGGCCGACCTTGTTTATAGGCCAAAAAACACTAATGAAACCTGACATCCAAGTAAACAGAACAAAAACATATAGCTAGAGGGTTCTTACATGTTCTTACTGCAACTTCTGAATTCTGCAGTGACTTTAGTTGTAGTAATAGTAAATTTTCAATAGATAAGGATCATTCATGGTTAAGATGAATGGAAAAACTACAAAGGTCTTTAAACATACAACATTCAACTTCCAGCCCAGGCATATATGTAAAAGATATTATTACTGGGGATACGCAACACAAACAACAGAGCTGGCAAATATGCTTGCTTTGATTTAAAATTGGGAAACGTTTGCAGAAAAAAATGTTCTCATTGCACTATTTTAATCCATTCTCTAAAATAAATTGCATCTGTCAAAGGTACTAAAATATTAATGTTCTTAAAAGTATCCGATTTCTTAGTATTTTTGCCTTAACTACTTCTGATCTAGCAAAAATCTAGCAACAACTATTTATCAGCAATGTCACTCCAGCACATAGCTTGTATGCATAACTTAAGGCAAAAAGTTAGTTAGTATGCTCATAACAGAATTTGACTTGTAGTTCTTTCTTCCTATTTTGAAATTTAAATATATAATTTGAAGTTATGGATTTCATATAGTGTAAGCAGAATCAGAAATCATTAGCTTTATATTTCCAGGTTTCTCAGTGATTCAGATTGATCTTGTAAAAAATTCTGATCATTCTTAAGGCATTTTCTGCTTTCTACAACACTGAAATCGTGTTTTTGTATAAACTATTAAAAAAGGGGTGGGTGCCAACTGTGTCATATATGAGTAGCATGTTACCTAAAAATCTTACAAATTAATTTCAAAATACTATTTTCATGGAGAACTGCTTCCTTACTTTCTAAAACATGAGACTATTATTTACTGATATCACATTTCTTAACAGCAGCAGAAGATACAGCTCTTTGGGTAAATTGTATATTCACAAATTTCATGTTAAGGAAGATATTTGCATTTACTTTGATAAGCCTCCTCCAAACTCCTACAAAGACAGAACTGCATGTCAGGTGTGTCTTTTAAGTACCAGGCATACTATAGTAGAATATAAGTCCTGATCTGCCTACCATGCAGAAATCAGGAAAAAAACACAACATCCACTTCTGAACTTCATCACAGAGGAAGATCATCTTTGCAAACTTTGTTTTCCATAAGAAGTAGTTATTAGTATGATTAGGAATTCAGGTTTAGCCCCTCCATAATAACTCTATTTGTCTCCAGGGGAAAAAAAAAAAAAGCTCAGTATGGATATGACTTGAATTCTGGATGTTTGCAGATGTGATACAATAAACTACTGATTCATGTCATATACAGTTTCAAGAATGTGTATATATATATATATATATATATATATATACACATGCATACATATACATATGTATACATACATTTTTATATGTATATATATGTATACCGGTAAAAGCATGCATGTAACAAAATACATTTATAACTTTTTTTTGGCCTTAGTAAGTTACAAAGTAAAATTGCAAATACAAGAAGTATGAGGGCTTAGAATTCTATTGCCAAAACTCATCTTCAGAATTTTAGTCAACACTTCATTAATTAATTAAATGTTATGTCCCACCTATAATCTAAAAACAATGGGAGAAACCAAAGTGCTCCCATGTTACCAATTCCTTTACAGTAGATAGGAAGTAAAAGAGAAGAACATTTGAAGTATTCTGCAGTCTAGCTACTTCCTTTGTCCCTTCATCAGCAATAGCAGCACTGCTCATAGGTCAGTCACGGGGCCAAAAACAACCTTAACTGCACTTCAGCAAAATTTCTGCCTTTCTTCTCCTCTTGGCAATCTACAGTGGTTATGAGAGCTTCTTACGTCATCTTCCTCAAAGTATGCAGCAAATTACCACTAAGCTGAACAGTTTACTATTTCTTTTCTTTCCATATGAATTCTCTGCCATTTTATTGAAGAAGACTGACTTTCTCCTGCACATTTAGGTGGAGAAAACTCAAAGTAAGAAGTTGAAGCTTGTAGCCTGACAGAGCAGGAAAAGGAGCCTCTCCACTTTTAATAAATCTGAGATGCAAATTTGACCCGGGTAAACCCTGAAGTACAAAGGTTTTAATTTCATTTTCAGCCTCCTCTCTTTAGGATAGCTAATAACACATACACACACAAAACCCCACAGCAACACAGAAGAAGAGAGTAGCCACTCATTTTGTCCCTCTGACAGAGATGCAAGAAGAAAAACAAGGTATTTGGAGTGTTCCACCTGCACTGCGGTTAGAAAGGCTCATATCCTGTAATAGCAGCAGCTATTCTAAACTATGTTAGTCAGAACTAAACATCACAAAATGTAAGCAAAAAAAAAAAAAAAAAAAAAGATTGAATATAAAAATTTAAATATAATTAAGGTTATACTTATTCTTCATAAATTAAGAGTACAATACTTCCAAATAGAGCCACTTCTTATCAATAAGAAGTCTATAAATCTAGATATCTGAATTATATTATACATACGAGGCTAATGAACACTTTTGGATGCCTCAGTATATTTGTTTTCATTATAGTTTCCTATATAATAAAAAGGTCCAGCATTACACTCTCTGCATTTGTGACTCCCTTCTTAATTACTTTTGAACTTACTGGACAATTTCAAATGGATGTGACAGAACAGAGGACTCAAAGATAATTGCATTACTACAGTTTTCATGAAAAAAGGCAGTGAAGTAGAAGAGAGAGATCTGCTAGTATTCCAGACGGGAAGGTCCGCAATCAAAACTCAGACCTTACTGGACACAAGTGAAATTCTCTGAACACTTTACCAAAAGAAAAGATTCTGCTAGAGCTTTTAACTTCCTGTAGACCTAGGAACATGTCAAACCTATGGGAAACAAGACAATTAGTTCTGCCCATGTAGCAACTTGCTAGGTAATGAATGTGTATACACAGCCAAACTTCAGCTGTTATCTCTTTCTTGTACACACACTGTTAGCCGTCTACTTTCTTAACTATCAAGGCTAAACTCAATGGAAGTTACATGTTTAGACTGACACGTAACAATGCAGGAATTTTTAATCTGTGTTATTCATTTTGGACCAGTGAGAAGAGCCAGATGGAACTTGCCACTTAATATACGTTCAAAGATCCACAGTATCACATAGGACTGGTAGATCAAGTATTTAAGTCAATTCTTACTTGATCTTTAATTTCTAAAAATACAATGTATGTAGCACAGTGTGTACAATCATAATTGCAGTGTGGTTACCTCCTACAACCCTTCCTCTAAAGAGAAAAACAATTAAAATTCCTGGCAAATTAACAAATCCCACCTTTTAAAAAAGATAACATTAATATAAAATCCAGATGATGAGATTTTACTGAGTGACCAAAGATGAAATTCACAATCTTAATCATAATTAAGGGGCACCTTAAGTAAGTTGAATTTTCTGAGAACTCATTTTTAGCATTTTCTAGGAATCAAATAAAAAATAACAACTGCTTTTTTTCTTTTTCAATAAAACTATTCCAAGTTCAATTTCTTGAAATTCATTATCTATTGCAAAGTTGTACACAAAAAAATCCACACAGAGATAACAATATGGATAGCAGTAACTGCTTTTAAGTTTGAAAAATGAAACAGCTTACCTTAAGGTAAAAGACAGGAAAAAGAAAAAAATGAGTGAAATGTGACCTTCTGAATGAGGATGCCAGTTCTATTCATTAAACCATTCTGGGGACAACTTGATTGCAAGGGGGTGAAATGAGTCTCATCTAATAGTTACATTGCATACTTTTTCATAACAGTAATGGACTTTGCTATTAAAGCATTCTACCACTTAAAATAATAATGTTGCTTGTAAAAAAAAAAAAGAAGAAAATTTTACACTCTAAATGCATGAAGAAAAGATTTTGCATTCAAAAGAAGAGAAAGCTAAGAAACTGTTAGTCTTGCTGTTAGATGATATGAAAGCTAATTTTTTAAAATGACTGCATGTAGACAGATCAATTAACTTAAATGATTGTAACGGTCCTCCTCATGCAGCCAAGAACATCAGATTCATTTACAGTTGAATTAATTATTTTCTAAAAATGTAGAGACCAAAATAAGCAAGGAAGAAAATAAACACTGCAAGTCAAACCCACTTGTTTTTCACTCCGGTGACTCAACCGAACTGTCAAAAGAAATTATTTCCTTGAAAAGCCTGATAATTATAGGGATAATTCTAAGTTTACATAGCTTTAAATGTACCCAAGGAGAAAACCAGTGCTTTAACAGATGACTTTGTATAGGATGAAACAACTGTCTCATATGACACTTACAAGGCTCTTCATAGATAGACGGTTATATTACGTAGCAAAATTAATTTTTTTTAGCAAATTCATTTAGCAAAAAGGTCATAGTAGATTTTTTTTAAAAACCAAATTACTCAAAAAAAAAAAAAAAAAAGCTTTTTACCAGGTATTAAAACGTACAGATGCTATATGCAAAGAAGAACTTTCTACAACAGGTGAATTTGGAGAGTTAAATTGCCTAATATACTTGGCATGTAAATGAACCAAAAAACATATAAGTCTCTAGAAAGTCACTTAAACCATTCTGTAAATTACTCCCTACCATAGCTACAGGAAGCTCCAATCTCCATTACATATAATTCAAGATAACTGACATGTTTCAATAAAAACAAAAGACTTAATTAATTAACTAAAAAGTGTTAACATTTACAATTACCACTTATTTTTATAAAAAAAAAAAAGTGGTTCTGAGAGCAATGAAACTGAGAGCAATGAAGAACAGACCATGAAAAAAAGGCAGCTAGAAATACTACCTTTAAAGCAATATTTTAAAAAGCATACTGCTATAGTCTATTGCAAGCAGTCAAGCAGAACTCCATTAATTTCAGAAGGGTTGTTCAGGGAGATAGTAATAATGCAGAGGAATATGATGATGCAAAACTGGATCCTCATGAAAACATACTGAATCTTTAACTCAGAATCTATTAGTCAAGCAGTTCAAACTACTAACTCACAAAATAAAGTAGCAAATCATTGTTGTAAAAACATCCTGTTTAAAACCTGAAATGGATGGAAATACAAACATATTAAAGATGAATGTCTTTATGTACTGTGAAAGATTATGTTCTGAGTGAAAGTAACACTTCAATTATGTTAGTGAAATACTAAATCCTTTATCACATAAATAACACTTAGCAGGGCCTGTATGTAAATCATATTCCATTATACTGCAGTGCCTGATAATGTTAGCATACACATTTGTGTTAGAAATAAGTCTACTTACAACTGAGTCTGCATCTGGACACTCCCTGTTAAAAAAATAAAGAGAAGGTACAATTACAAAACACATACATGGTTTTATTCATATAGTCCCAATACTTCCTTCCTTTAATAATTTCAATTAATTTGGAACATTGAGTTTGACTCATGTGCCTCACTAAGTCTATTAAAATTTTCATTATGTTATCTACACATGACTGGATGAGACTTAAAAGAAAAAAAAACCAAAAAACTCTAAAAATTTATACTGGAAACTCTACAGAAGAAAAATTCACAATAAATGATGAAAAAACCAAACTCACATCATAGTGAAGACAAAAAGAATCAGTGGAAGGCAGGAGTTCCACATTCTATTTTGGATGAATACACTTAAAAAGTCAGGTCTCTGCAGATTATGTGCACAGTAAGTAAGAGTCACCAATCCTAATGGAACATTTTGTAGGATAACCAGCTATTAAAGCAATTAACACTATTCCTGAAGGAATTCAGATCTTTTCTCCTTGGGAATTTCATTCCTAGTTCATGTTTGTTAAGTACAGTTAGAGTCAAGCACCAGAAAATGCTGGAAAAAACAAAAAGCATCTTAAAAAACACTTTGAAAAAGTGTTTGACAGGAAAGTAGTCATTACAAAAACATTTATATACGTTATAATCCTCCGCATTGACCTGGATTAAAGCAGTGAGAGAGAGTACACAGAAAGAGAAGGAGTTACATTTAAAGAATGTGGTAATTCTTCAGGAACATACAGGCCCTCTCTAATCAGCACCTTGACAAATAACCCTGTGAATGCAAGTGCAATTGAAAAACAGCATTTTGAGGCAGTCAAAATAAAAACAAAAGCAAAAACAACCTACGGAAAACAGAGGAGAAAAACTAGCAAAACAACCAGACATGCCACAGAGCATAACGAGGAGAACAAAGATGCAAAAACACAGCTTAGTTTTTTTTGTTGTTATTGCTTTAGATGCTCTTCAGCAAGAAACATGCACATAAAGCTTACCCAAAATCATGCCACATTAATGCCAAAAACAACAGATTCAGGCAAATAAATTCCAGATTTGGAAATGATGTACCTTGCACTATAGTTATTGCATGTATACTACACCACAAGCTTTATTTAACTAAGCATCTTAAGTTTTAGATTAAGATTTAGCTCATCAGATTCATAGTGGATAACTGAGGTTGAAATTTTAAATATTGTACAGCTGATTAATGTAGCAAATCTTATTTTTGTGTTAGCTGATTCATTAATACTGAAGAAAAAGCTTATATCATTATTTCAATTAGTGGTAAGTGGACTACATGATGTTGGAGTCTGCTTCAATCTTGGTGATTCTATGATTCAACGATTCTATGATTCCCTGAAAGGTTAAATGGGTTAAATGTAAAAGCTACAGCATCTTTCAAAACAGGTATGACAATTTGCTAATATGGGAGGAAGAATATAGAATTCAGTCCAGCCTGTTATGGTACTGACAGTGAGATGAAGGATTCTGTCTTTTCTGACAGGCTGCGCACAAAAGAAAACACTTGTGTGTCTAATCGTCCTATGTCTTATCTCCCCCTACTGGTTAAACTGAATTCAGAGCAACAGAACGCTATTTTAAAAGTTATTTTGCAGCCTCAAGAGACAAAGTACCCAAAAGATTCAAAGTGCTGGTGAGGTGGAAAACAAAGACAACAGGTTTTAGATGGACGTACTTTTACACTGCTAGATGCATGACCTTTTAAGATTAAAGGATCAGGTCGTGCTTTTACTATGAGGTAATATATTTTGGAAAATGAGAACTTTGTGAGGGAATCTAAGGATTCTAGCTGATAACTAATTCAAACATAATGAATAGCAGTGAAACACTTGATGGAACCTGCACAGCAAAATGTAATACATACATACTGTGTATGACATTTACCTGTGCAAAAATACTGCTAGGTACAATGCTCAGTTTAGGCGTCAACACTTCAGAGACTGATAAATTTCTCACGTTACTGATACATTGAAAAGCCTAGAAACCTTGAGTTACTATTCTAGGTTTGGAAAGTGAGCTCTACACAAGCAAAATAATTGCTGGTCCAATTTAATATGAAATTAGGAAAGGAGTTGACCTTTCTGAGCAGAAAATTTTCCTATACAGAGTTCTATCATGCAGAGTCTGTAAGCAGAACATCAGCTGAAGATGAAATCAAGCAAAATTTAGACAAGCAATAAAGAGATGATAAATGACTACTAGAAAATTTTATTTAAGAACTTAATGGATCCTCTTTAACTTAGAAACAAAATATTAAAATACATGATGTTCTAAATATGTAATGTGATAAATTAGGGATTAATTTTGTAAAAATCTATGGCATGTGTTATACAGTAGGTCAGTATCATGCAGTTATACTTCTTTCTTACTAACCTCAGCATCTGTTCATTTTTGCATTGTGAGTAAAAATAGAAACAAAAAGTGTAATTCAAATCAAGTTCAACTTCAAACTGTTGCAAGTAAGGAAACTTATTTTCCCATTTCAGAGTGGTTGCACCCATTTTAGTTGTCTGATGACATCACTATGTAATGAAAAACAAAAGTTCTCCCAGAAAGAGACAGGCATACTATTTTTCTATGTTAAATATAATGTGTTTGGGAAAATGCAGCTTTTATAAAAGCATTCTGAACCAAGAAAATTTTCTTCTGTTATGGGTCAAGGATACATCTGAGGTGAATGAATCTGGAGCTTCCTGGATGTTAATGACTCCAGAAAAATAACACTGAGTCTTAAATTTTCCTGAAGGCAGGTTAAACGTATCTCATTATCTGATAAAGAATGAATGGAAGGAGATGCTTGGTTTGCAAGCAAATTAATGACATACATGACAAGAGATCAGCTGGTGTAATAACTCATTCAGTAGCAATTTTTTTTGTTGTTGGAAAAGAAAAAGTACAAAAATCAATCATATAATAGCATTCAAAACTCAATATGCAGAATCACAACTTTGTAATTAAGTAAATTCAAAGAACGAAAGGCAAATGAATGAGCATACTGCTGCTCAAAGTTGCAAATCCGGTATCCCAAAAATGTGTAGTAAATCACTTTTTACAGAGATTACAATTTCTAAAACATGTACAAAAACTATTTAAAACACTAATATAATCAAATATTTATAACACTCTAATTTAAGTATTCTAAACTAAACCACAAAAAAAACACTCATACTTTGTAATTGTATTCTTAAATTTTTGCTGACCAAAATCATACAGTATGTATTTATCTCAGCATTTACTTCAGCATAAGAGAATACCGAAGAGAGTGCAGAAGAAGGACTAAATCACAGAAGGGAAATATAGAGGAATGACTTAAAACACATGACAGCCTGGAGCCTTAACTACCTCTTCACAGCAAGAAGAAAAAACATGGTTTTGAAAGTTAAACACAAAAAGAAAAATATCTGTAAGACACTTCATATGTGTAAAAAATCAAATCTTAGGTAATTAATTTTTTCAGCACTAGCTTAAAAAAATTATTTCCTGAAAAGCTTAAATAGCTACAAAAATCATAAATAGCTATGACATTTTCATATTGTCAGCACTCTTCTAAACATGTTATAACACCAACTGTCATTAAACATCAGCTCACTTCCATACTTGCACAGGTTTTCATACAAGACAGAAATTCAAGCTGGAAATACACTTACACAGATTCAGTATCTTTTTCTTTTTTCATTATTCCTGATAAACCAAAAGGTTTCCTCTTCCTTGGTTTTATCCCTGCAAAACAAAACATTCATCATTTAAAGATCAAAGAGAAGAGTATATGTCTAGCAGCGCCAAACACTGGTGCTCATCAACAGGAATACCTTTTAAACAGTGATATAATGAGTGATACAAGCAGCAATGGAAATTGTACCGAGCGAAACAAAGGAAACACAAAATATCTGTAATATTATTCCCATACTACTACTATGAGTCATTATAAAACTGATTTGCAGTGTATGTACAATTCTCAATGTTCAGTATACAAAAGATTGAAGCACTGACAGTTTTGAAGAAAGGGAGTCTGCTCACAGAAACTCAACAGGAGTTATTTTTCCAGCTGAAAGCAGTGGATCAGAATCATGGACAGAATAGCACTTGGATCAGAAGCCAAATCTGCCCCTATCTGCAACTGCACTTCAATACCCAGTTCTCATTCCCTGAATGACCCTAGTTGCTGCAAGCCACTGATTCTCCTAAGAAGTAGGATGTTTGTCCCATAAAAAAGTGAATAGCACTTGGCTTTCCTGCCTATGCTGACTTCATGACTTTCCAGTGCTGTTGCTAGTACTGAGTCCAGTCATGCCTCCCCTCCTGTCTTTTTTGCCACACTGTTAGCATGGTTACATACACCTAACTATAGTACAAAAAAAAAGTTTTCTTTCACAACCATTTAACATGCTAAAATCAAAACACATCACTGCCATTTCTGCTTCTCTACTTATATTTTTTGCTGTAGCTAAGTATACTGTCTCACTTTAAACAAAAAGTACAGCTAAGTGCAAAGATCAGATCCAATGAGTCTACAGTTTTGTTTTGACTTAATATACTGTCTGCACCAAACTTTTGAGCAGAAATGTGGACACAATTTGGTTTCTAAAAGTTTAAAAACTGATAGTTCAAGTGTATCATTAAAATAACATATTTTCTCTCATAGAAATACACTACAAGGGCTGCTCTGAAAGTAAGGCCCCATGTTTAATGATGTTGTCCCGGGATATCAGAGGCAGATGCTGGTGGTTTGTCAGAAGAGGTTGAACCCCTCACATTCACTGACACTTGCTGAATGTTTGTGGAGATCAAATAGTGAATGTGAGAACAGTGAAGCAGTGCATGGTGCATTTTGGGTGTGGCAACAGTGGGTAACCTATGCTGGTGCAGATGCTTACAAGTGTAGCATGCAGGCTCATGTTCATCAGTGGTGAAAATGCATAGCTAGTAGGGGTGAATCCTGAAAGACAGTGTTTTGTAGCTGAGAATTTGCCAGATCAAACAGTGTTACAATGCTCTTTGTATCTGATGTAGTTTCCATGGAAATAAATAGGAGGCATTACTTTTGGAGTGACTTACATGCACAGCACATAAGGAATCTCTCCACTCCTGGAAAACTTACGGGTGAAATAATTCAAAATTTCTGAAATCAGGTAGGTGTAAACTTAGCTGTATCTTACGTTTTCACAGGGGCACAAATAGCTCCAAAATTATTTTAAAATGTTAGCCTGACATTCATAACCAGCCCAAAACAACAACAAATAGAATACTGGAATTGTTTCTTGACAGGGATTCCCATTATTTCAGTAAAAAAAAAGATTTAAGTCTCAGCTGCAACCTTGGCAACTTCAGAACTGTCGGCCAGTACAGCTCTTCTGTCAGCTCCTCTGCTCCAAAACTAAATATATAGCATATGCAAATAAAACAGTTCTTAACCACTTTAAACAATTCCCTAAGTAAAATAAGTTACACCAACAATGGAAGGATCTGTGACCATAACACTGCATTAAAATTGGTACAACTAACATGACAACAATGGAACGAGCCTGAGCCATACTTTGACACTCGTAAATTAAGTTACATAGACATAACTGAACCAAATCCAAACCTCTCAAAACATAAGGTCTTAGCAGAAGTACATTTATAATAAACATAAACATTCTCTGACAATGATGCATTAGGCTTTAAAAAAATTATTATAGGTCTTATTTTCTTTTAAATTTGTTTCTCAAAATAGTAACTGCTTTTTAGCCTGCTAAAATACTTTCAAGTTAAATACATTCACAAGCCATTTACCGTTTGCTCCTCAGTTTCAGATACTATGTACTGCAAATAACTGCTTGAATAACTCACCTTCAACTGCACTGGATGTATTACATTCCTCAAATTCGATAGGACCTTGAATAAATTAGAATGAAAATAAACATTAGATTAAATTCAAATCCATGCGAAAGTCAAACACTAAAATATTTTATCCACAGCTAATATTTCCTGAAAACATTAGCTAATCTATTTAGGATTTTAAATGGTAAAGGAAAACCTCAATAGCACAGCCAATGTTGATAAAATCTTACACATAAGGCATATCATTAAATATTTTTACTCCTTCACAGTGAAAAATTATAATTCTAATGCACGCTGTCCAAATATAATTTAATATCCTATGTTATTACAACCAGGTTTCCTTCTTTAGGTCCAAATTGTATCTGTAACATAGTATCAATATAAAGCTTTAGATTTATCTTCTTTTTATAGAAGAAGAGCTATGCAAATAAAAGTGAAAAAAAAAAAAGAAAAAAGGATAGCTATAGCCCTAATCTTGAGATTCACATTCTTCCTAACTTATTTCCTCTGCTTCTTCTTCGTAGCCAACTACCTGGACAATTAGAAGGGATGCAGAGAATGTTAAGCACAGCAACAGACAGAAGCTTCAAAGAAATTACAATGACTGAGCAAGACAAAACAAAATAAAATCAGTACTGTTTAAGTGCAGTATCTAAGTAAGTACACTACTATAATTTCCTGTTATATTTGACACAAGGTGAAAGACAGGTGTCATTGCAAAGGGCAATTTTAACCCTCATTCTTTAATCAACTAAGTCTAGAATTTGTTTATCTCCAACACAGCTGATTTCAGGAAGCTGAGCTGGCAGAAGAGCAATGGATTTCAAAGAGACATTGGCACGGGGTTAGAAAGAATCCCATCAGCACTTGAGCTAGTGTTAAGAAAGCAAATAACAAGAATAGGGTCCTTGGGCCATGCTGAAAGAGCAGGCTGCAGCTGCAGCTGCAAAGCTGAAAACAACGCTGAGCACAGTAACATGGGACACAGTGCTTATCTTCATGTTTTCAGGGAGTACACACAAGTTCATAGGTACATGCATTATGGAGCAATGTGCTTCCAATTCTGTAAGGCGGCCAATCTTTCCTTTTCAACCTCTCCTCAAATTGTATTTACCAGCGCTGCTCCGAAAGTAATGCCTCCTGTTTTATGATGTTGTCCCATGATGTCACGGGCAGATGCTGGTGGTTTGTCAGTAGAGGCTGAACCTTCCCACCAATATTCCATTACATGTTGTTACCCCGAGGCAGACGGCAGCAGAAGGACACTCATAATAAATGGTGTCTGACACGGAAATTCATAGGAAGCAAAAGTGTGTCAGTGAATTCCTCAGTGTGGAAAAAATGGCACCCACTGACATTCACTGACGCTTGCTGAATGTTTGTGGAGATCAAACAGTAAATGTGAGGACAGTGAGGCAGTGCATGGTGCATTCTGGCAGTGGCAACAGCAGGTCACCTACACTGGTGCAGATGTTTACAAATGCAGCATGCAGGCTTATGTTCATCAGCGGTGAAAATGCATAGCTAATGGGGACTCTTGAAAAACAGTGTTTTGAAGCTGAGAATTTGCTATATCAAATAGTGTTATTGTCTTCTTTGTATCTGTTGCAGCTTTTCATGGAAACAAATACAAGGCACTACTTTTGGAGCAACTTACATATTTCAGTACTGCAAGGGAGGCTGAAATGTTGAAAATCTTGATTAAAAGAACTGGAAATAAAGTAATTGTGAAAACTTTATGTGTAGAAACTGTTTTCACTCCTAACCCTAAACAAATGTGACAATAAATGCTCCGATTTATCTCTTCAATGAAATTAATGTTATTCCAGAACAACTGCTAAAAAGCCAAAGACTATGCAATTTTCAGATGTTCACATAAAATAAAAGGTGTGCTTGCAAACACTCTGCAGTGTTCTCCCTGGCACACTTTTCAAAAGAATGTGGTAATTCTGAGTCTCAAAACAAGCAGTTGATATAAACAGATCTTAGAAGAAAGATGAAGAAGTTTGATTTAAACAGTACAGGATAGCAAATCACTGTGCTGCAATTAAAAATGCCACAATAAAAATAAAAAATAGTAATTTAGCTATGAATTAGAATTGTGAATTGCACAACTGGAATTTACTTGCACTTGATTTGTGTGGTTAATTACCTCAACTGGTTATATTTGTAATGTAACCCCTAAAATGTATATTTAACCCTTGAAGTGTAAAATTGTGTTCAAATCAGTATAAATAGTACATTTTGACAACATTTCTCCAACAAAAAAAAGAGTCATGCTTATATCAAGCAAAAATAAAGACAATTGAGAAACTGTTGTAAATCCATGCTTAGCAATGATAAACAAATTGAGTTATTGTTGACATAGTAGCTTAAATCTGCCAAGTACTTTATTGGAAATCTCACAGATATCTGATATTTATTGCAATAGTAAGTCTACATTTTTTTTCCTTGATAGTTAAAAAAAAAGGTGTAGAACCACCATTAGCACAAGAATCTAGTATCATTCGTATCCCATTTATCATAATGTAGTTACTGAGCCTCCAAATGAAGCTTCTGAAAGCAGAATATCAGAAAGCCAATTTCAAATATCAATCTTTAATTGCTCTAATTGCTCTTTAAATTTAAATTAGTGAAAAACTTCAAATGCAAGTCTAATTATTCAGTATGACAGACAAAATGCAAAATCCAAACAGATCTCTCATTCTACTACACTGTAAGCATATGGTCATTTTAAGCTGCTCTTCCAGTCACTCATCCTTTGCTGTTCTTAAATTCATAGTAAAGCAAAGTCAGTGTGCTCCACAAGTCAGCAAATCTGCATACCTCACAATGCAAAACAACAAAAAAGGAAGAAACACAGATTCAGAGAACTGCAGACATCTACATACCTATAATGATTTCACCAGCATTTTATTTTAGCTATATTGTTCAAAACATATTGAGAAAGAAATGCAGAAAAATAGCATAAAACTAGAAGCTGACGAACAAATCCATTACTTTTTCAGTACTACAGGTGGTACATTTTTCATCAGTTTGCTAGAGATTCAACTGTTTCTTATATAGGTACTCCATGTGGCCAGGAAAAATACATAAGCCAAGCCAACCACAAATACTCTTTCCCAAAACAAGAAGCGAAGGAAAAACTGCAAACAACGGAGTCTTAAACATATTTTGAGAGGAAAACAAGACTAAAGCCTTTTCAGAATACCATCTTTCTTTACCTGTCCCAGTTACTACCACTGATCTTCAGACTGCTAAGACTTCCACACTAATGATTAAAATATATACATGATTAAAATGTATTCTGGAGCTTAGGAAGTTCCGCACCAATGTGCGCAAGAACTTCTTTACGGTGAGGGTGACGGAGCACTGGAACAGGCTGCCCAGGGAGGTTGTGGAGTCTCCTTCTCTGGAGATATTCAAGACCCGCCTGGACGCCTACTTGTGTGACCTGGTGTAGGGAACCTGCTTTGGCAGGGGGGTTGGACTTGATGATCTCTGGAGGTCCCTTCCAACCCCTACGATTCTGTGATTCTGTGATAAATATTCCAAGTTCCTGCAAAACTCATCCTTATTTCAGGTATTTTTTATTTTCACTCCAACACAAGCAGAAAACAGAGATTAATATGCTGAGTGTTAAAGCACTTCAAAGTTATATGCATTTGTCTCCGAAGGCAGATTTTTATTTCAGTTTGTTAAGGTCTTAATTTCAAGAGATACTTGTGTTTAGTACTGAAACATCTCCCCTAGTTCACATCAGTCTTTCAACAATGTGTGCTTTCTTTACATGGATTACTGTAAAAATTGATTTGAAATATTTTTTGTTACTTAAGAACTGTTACAGACCGAAGCAAGATAAAAGTGCAATGAATTTCAGCAAGTGAGCTTACAATTCATGAAAATCTATACATGGAGATAATAAATGCACTTTCTTCCTAATGATACCAGTTGGGTTTACGTTCCCTCAAGATGTGTAGTTAATATAGAAATCCCTTCTCCCCACATGCTCTTTCCTTCCCCTGCATCTACTAGTTGCTTCATTGCAAGAAAGTAAAATATCAATCATGAAAACAGCTTTCTCTTACAACAAATTGTGTGAAACACCTAAAGTTCTAAAGAAACATTAAATCCCAACTTACATTTTTATCCAATTCAAATTCCTGTATAGCTCTTCATCTTTTGGAATTTCATAAGTTTACAACACTCATGGATATCACTAATGAATCCACAGACTAACAAATAAAGTTTATCGTTTTCTTCCAGTATCCAAGGATGTTTGCTATTTTTTATTAATTTATATTTAACTTGCTCCTGCCATGTTGTACTATTTGCTTATAGCAAAGGCAAGCAAGGGCAAATTCACACATTTGCTTTTTTGAGCAGAATACCGAATTCTGCAGTAGCTCTAAATATTCAGGTTTTCATTCTCAAGTTTTGTTCTATAACTTCAGATTTCTCAACAGTTCTGTTTCCCTATATGCCTGCTGTAAAGAGCATGCTTTGCCTGGGGTGTAGTATTTGTAAGCCAAAATAACATTTCAGAAATAGACATTTAATGTGGTACTCTATGGTGAGCCAATTTAGAAGACAGAATAGCTGTGATGAGCTTTTGGTTGCTAGAAAATAATGGGAGTTTCTTGTGAGCAGATGTCTTTGAGTCAAAGAGGTAATAACACTGTCATCCAGCTAGAAAGCAGTGTGTACTGTGGCTACACTGTCTCCCACTATAACTAGATGCAGTCTCCCAGCCTGCCAAAAGGTCGTAGGCACACATGTTGCTATGGAAGAAAAGCATCAATAAGGATTCCAAAGCTTTCTTATGAACACCCCAATGTCCACTGTATTTGTCTATCTGGATAACCAAAGAATCTGTGCCATCACTGCAAAAAAAAACTTCAAAAAACTTTCTTCTCTGAACAAGCAAATCCTCCAGCTTTCTAAATCCTGCTTTCTTAATCATTATTTAATACACTCAAAAAATTAATGGAGATTTCCAAGTAGGTGTAGTACACAGATGCATGTCAAAGCATGAAAACTCACATGCTGGTATG